TGGAGTTTTTAATCTCCTGAAAATCTGTTTGCATCTGTTTTATGGATTCCATTTGTTTCCTATGTTGGGATTCCATCATGTTCCTCAGCTGCTCTTTTTTTTATCTGTGACTGCTCTAGATTTATTAATCATGTCTTGTACTATTGGCACAATCTCTGCTGTTATCTGAGAAATTATTTCTGATTTCATTTTTTCCAGGTCCCCTTTTGTTGCCAGTTCAGGGAGTCCAGGTGGTTGAGTGTCCAATTGTTCCATCTCATTGCCCTTTGGGCTTGCCTTAGGTGATCAGGAAGTCTTGTTTTGAGGCTTATTTACATGTCTTCTCATTTCAGCAGATGCAGCCTGCTGTGCCTTTGTTGAAGTGACTTTTTGCTCACCCAGTGGTCTTGAATTCTCAGCAAGCCACCAAGCAGCCTTTACTCTGCTGCTCACCAGTACACCAGTTCCTGGGTTCAGAATGGTGGCCTTCAGGATCCCTGAGCTGAACTGTTTCTGGGCAGGCTTCTGGCTGGGGCCTGTGCATACTTGGGATGATATCTAGGCATGCCTCTTGCTTGCTGGGACCCCAGTGTAGCTGTTTTCTGGGAGGGCCTTTGGTTGGGCTCTGTGCACCCCAGTTACTGTTGTCTGCATGGACTTCTGGCTAGGGTTTCCACACACTTATCAATGATATTGGGGTGAGCCTCTGGGTATTGTGTGCCTGTGTAGCTCTTTTCCAGGTGGGTCCTTGGCTGTGGTCAATGGTATGGAAGGCCTCTGGCTGAAGCTTGAGTGCCTGTGCAGTTCTTTTCTGGGTGGGTCTTTGGCTTGGGTGTGTGTGCCTGAGCCTCTGGGTTTGGGGCGGAGCCCTGGCTGGGATCCACCTACAGCAGCACCACTCTGGTCCACACCACTGCTCCCCAGGATCTTTATGTCTTAAAATTTTGCTAGAAAATGTCTATTATTACATTGCCAAATCTGAAATCAGAATGCTATCACTTTTTCACAGCCCAGACATATACTTAATAAAGTCAGAGTACCCCAAACTTCTATTTTGATGTATTATTAAAAATATTTTTCTCATTGGGAACAATTTAAATAAAAGGAACTGCTAGAAGCAAAATTGCTGGAGTCAAAGATGTCAAGCACTTAAACATTATCTTAATGTAGATTTGCTTTAGGTTGGAGGCCTTAATACTTTACTGTTTATGAACATCGGTCATTATTTTAGCAAACACTTGAGTTAACAAAACTACGTAGAAGGGCAAGGGAATTAGGTCAGTGGTTCCACCGTCTGCCTGGCAGACACAAGGTCCTGAGTTCAAGTCCAGTACCCCCCAAAAAACAAAAGCAAAACCAATAACTATGTAGAAAGTATGAGACTATAAAACAGAAGGGAGTTTATAGAGAAAATTGGACCAGATGGCAGTCATATCACACTTCAGTGTTTTTTTAATATGCTATAGGGCCAACACTGATTGGCTAAGTCACAAAAAGTCTGGTTATATTGACAAATTCACAAATATTAACATTAGACTTTTTGCTATAAATTGATGACTAATATTAAGGGGAATAGATTATAAAGTCAGCTAAGCACTCCATGTATTAAATTTATAATAAATCTGTATCTATTAGAAGGTTGATTAACAATATGCCAACTGAGACAGAGTTCATCAAATTATGTTCATGGTCAGGATCACTTGACCATGAGATTCTGACTCCAGATATGTCCATTCTTGACAGGACCTTTTCCCCTAAATATTCTTGAAGATATTCAAGATTTGTACTTTTCAGGATTCCTGAGACTTAGCATATTAAATTTTGTGGGTTATGCACATACAACCATTTATATAAACATAGGGTATACTATATCAAATTAGTTGTCTTGCTTTCCAGTCCTGACTTTTCATATTTTCACTGAGATGACCTCTGTTCCTACTGCTCTTACCTCTTATCAGTTGATCAGATTTTGGCTCAGACCCTGGTAGTACATTCCTGAGTTCTAGGTGGAAACTCACTGCATTCTCCTGGGCTTACTGCATCAGGAGTGTAAATAATACAATTATTTTCTAAGTCAAGTTAGGACACTTTACATCTATATACTCATAATCTAATGCAGGTGGGAGGGTCAGTCATGGTGCATGTATCTTGAGGAATGAATGTAATGTCTTGTAATATGTAACTCTTGGTAATTTATTAAGAACGTATTTATTTCTTTCAGTTCTGGAGGTTGGGAAGTCCAAATCAAGGTGCTGGCCTCTGTTGAGAACCTCTTTGCTGTATCCATAGCAGAAGGCAGAGGACAAGAGAACAAAAGCATGAGGGGACCAAGCTCATTCTTGCAATAACCCACTCCCACAATGAGGGCAGGGCCCTTGTGACCAAATTATCTCTTATTAGGCCCAGCTCCCAACAGTTTCATTAACAATTAAGTTTATATTATATGAATTATTGATGACACATTCAGACCGTAGCACAGGAAAAGAATAGTAGTTCAGTCTTTGCCAAGATAAAACTGTCAGACCTGACAAGCTAATGCCTGGGATTGCAGTGAAGAAAGGTGAGATGAAATCACGGTATATTATGGATGCTCATCACAATCTGTCTTCAGTTCCTGTTGTTGGCTTTAAGAGGCTAGAGTCAAGAAAATGGCCTATAAATATTTGTCATTCAAGTCAGAATGATTTTTATCTTAAGTACTTAGCAAGATTTTTTTTTTTGCAGGGAGGGGGAAGGGAGCTCTAAGCTATTGCTTCCATCTATAATGAAAGATCTATGAAACACTTATAAAATAATTAGCTACAAAATCTGAATCATATCAAGTTTAATCTCTCTGCTAGAGGTTAAGTCTAACAATGGAAAACAAGTTTACCCCATATTTCTGGCCCTTGTTTGTATTCTAATTAGTGGAACATACAAATGATAAAATATAGGCAGGAAAAAGGAAATATGTAATCAAACTATAATTTGTAAATGAATTATCAGTTGCCAAGGAAGCTAAAAGTGCCTAGAAAAGCACAGAAGCTCAGCCGACCATCTTGGCAGAAACTATGGTCTTCTTTTCCCCATCTGACATGTCTGTGCTCCTTTTTACTTCAACAGAATCCCATGTTCCATGTTTTTATCACAAGAATAAGTACATTGGAGTACTCCTGGATGCACAGTGCCACTTGATAGATTCTATGTAGATAAATCCTTTATGCAATAGACTAAGAGCAACCATTTATTTAAGCAAGAACAGCCTGTTTAACTACAGGCATAGAGAAAAGCCTAATTGTATTTTTCTGCTATATTATCCCGTAATCCCTCTTACCTTTTTTCTAAGTCTTATGTGATAAGATGTAAATCAGTTAAAACTTCAATTGGCTATTACAGTAGTATCTTTATACAATAAATTAATAAAGGAAACAATACCTTACCCTCTGCACTTCTGAATTACCGTCATTACTAGTATTTTCATTAGTGGAGACACAATATTTTTCTACAAGAAAAAAACAAACTTTAAAAAAATTCTCTTTGCAAACATTCAAATGCTCCCTTATTCCTATCTCAGTATAATTATGAGAATTATCTTAGTTACTTCCCCCTTTCATGTCTTTATGCCAACAAACAACATTAAAATGCATTCAGTGTAGAAACTTGTCATCAGAAACAGCAGTGAATTCATGACTGATTCAGGTACTCCAATGGGGAAAATAAATACTGTTCAACCAGATCCAAAATTTTGGTGCTTCAGAGTTGTTGGCTTTATATCCACCAATGACCAACAACGGGGAAGTCATGGCCAACGAGGGGCTGAGAGCGGTGGTTAGGGAATTAGAAGCAGATGCCTCAAGGAAGCCTTTCCTTCTAGGCCTTGACAAATCTGTTGCCTCCTTTAGTTTTACTATTTATTGGTTATTCAGATTAATGTGGTGTTCTGGCAGATTTGTACACACACATAACAATTCTTTGCTCATTTTCACCCCACATCACTCCCTTGCCACCCTGCCCTCTGCTAGCTTTACATTTTGGACAAGGGTTTCAATGGATATGAGCACAATATACACATTTAAAATATGGCCCCTTTATACATATCCTGGACTAAGGGCATTTTAAAGTAATAAAGGGAATTTTTTTAGACACAAACTATATCATATGAATTTACCAAGGATTAAAATAAAATGAGCCACAAAGATACTGCATTTTTGGAAAGCACCAAACATTGAATAAGCTCAGAGCAGGAGAAAACAAAGCCCATAATTGAAGGAACTAAATGGGTGAGGTATAAAGATAGAGGCAACTCATGGTCAGACCATCAAAAACAACTTTTTTTCTGGTACCGGAGATCAAACTCAGGACCTTGCTCTTGTGAGGCAAGCGTGGCACCACTGAACTAAATCTCTGGCCCTCAAAAACAACTTTTTAAAGTTTTCTTGTTTCTTTCCAGTTACTTATCAAGAGCAGGATGATTGGATCATCCTATTTATTAATTTAATATGAAATTGGTTTTTTTTAATTACCTATAATTTTTAATTCAATCAGTTCCCTTATGAAAATAGAAAAACTGGAAATGATAGCAATGTATTGCAATGGGTGTCCTTTTGATGCTTGGTGAGCCTCCTGATCACTTTCTCAGGGTACATTTTTGGTAATAGGATACTAAGATGGAATTGTAAAAGCATTTTAAAGAATAAATTTTTAAAATGACTGTCCAGAAAAGCAAGATCTGTTTACATGCCCAGCCAGCAATGTGGGTATGTATTCTATGACATCTGTAATACACAGGACATGCCTTACTCAGGGGCAGAGCCAAATTCCCCATATTACCTGTGAGGTATCTTTTCCATTTATGACGAAAGTTTACTATCAAAGTCAAAAGCAACACCCAAACTGATAGAGCCACCAGAACAGGTATTTTCCAGGAAGCTATTTCTTGGCTTGATTCTAAATAAAACAAAAAAGTTTGTGAACTGGAAGAAAATTTATCAAATAAGAAAAGAGAAGGGTGGGGATAGATGGGTGGAGGTGGATTATGTTTACTATTATTAACACTAATTATTTTGGCATTCCAGATGGGAGCAGAATTCATAAGAAAATACTGTACATAATAAATTGGCCCTTTAAAGATGAAATCCAGACTCCAGACTGGATGGGAGAATTTTCCATGAGGATAAATATCTCCCAGGCTCAGTGTCTATTATGGGAAACCTATAGACAATATAATATTAACCAGTTGAGGGTTGGGAGGAGGTGAAGGTCAAGAGAGTAAAAAGACTGAAAACTTGGGCAGCAATGAGGCTGTTATGCATTTTAAGTTTCTATTTTATATTATAATCAGAGAATTAACACATTCTTTACACAGGGATAATTAAAACTGCAAACTAGCCTCACTCAGGGCCCATTAGAGAAGGATGCAATCCACCCTTGGCTTGGAGGAGACACTGTCCTTGGGGAGGTAATGTGAAGTTCAGAGGTGACAAGAGAAGCAACAGGTGGCACTGGATTAGTAGTTAGTGCTTGCAGTTTCTTAGGAAAAACTAGAGGAACCTGAATTTCCAGCATTCTGGTCTTTCCTAGAATTGTAACTAATATTAAAGGAGATATGAATTCCTAAAAGTAGAAATTTGCTAATCTTATTTTCTCAACCTACCAAGTAACAGGAAGTACTAGAATACGAAGGCCAAATCAGCATGGAAAAATGCTTATGAGCGTTTCTTTAAAATGAATACCTCTGTTACATAATAGATATCAGTCTTTATGAACATATTACTTAATAATGTTTTACATGCAACAAAACATTAATCTCACCTCCTATTTGAGACATTGTGAAATTCTGTATTCTTATAAAGAAGGAGAAATAAAGTAGAAATGTTAGGCTTGCTCTATAATATGTTTTCACACACATTTTCCTCCCAAGAAAATTCTATAAGGTATTTAATGCCATTTCTCACTTCACCTATGACCCTTAGTTCCCTCATCATAAAGGGATTCGCCTAAGGTCATATCCTAATTCAGCAGTACAGATTTAGAAAGGATGATTTAATTTCATTTAGTTTGGTGCAACTCTTTTGGGCAGAGCTAGACTGTAAGATTCATAAGCACCCCTCCCCAAATCTGGGCCTTTTCATATGCTGTGGCATGACCTAGACAAGGCAGTGAATGGAAAAAAAATTGCAATTTAGAATACAAAAGTGATTTTCTTTTTGTTTCATTTTGAGGGGTTGTTTGTGACTCCAAGGATCGAACCTAGGGCTTTCAGCATGCTAGGCAAATACTCTACTACTGATCTAGGTCCCCATCCTCTAGAAAACCAAGTTTCCCTGAAAGGCTAATATGTAGAGTACCACAACTATTTGCCATGTTCGCTTCTCTGCCTGGGTGCCTCCTGCTCCAGGTCTCTTCTTGGGGGATTGTGGCTCACCCTTCCCCAGTCCTCACTGGCCACGGTTAAGTTGGGTATGAGAGATTCTGAAAAGCCTCTTTTTCAGAGATGGAATAGTCCTGGATGCTTCATTTTGTGCGAACTGGAAATTATATCTCTGGTTAGGAATGGGGCCATATGTGGTCTTCAGACAGATTCTTCCTGATTATTTTTCTATACTCCAGAATGAATCCAACATGAGCCAACACTTTTAAAAATAGAATGCAGGCTCAACTGCATTTTACATAAAACTGACACTCTTATTTTAGAGAGAGAAAGAAACTTCAAATGCATCTTATTTTTTATTCTATACTGTCAAAGTGGCAGCTCTACAAAGGGAGTATTACAACTTAGTGCCTAGAAGCTTCTTTTTTTTTGTAAGACTGTATAAGCTGAGGACGACTCTGTGCTCTTATTTCCAATCTTACTATATAAACCTCCAAAGAAATGTGTATTCCTCATTTTTGTAATTGGAATGATAAAAATTTCTAAAATAGTATATATTCCACTGATACAAATATCCTTTATTAAAGAGCAGAATGCAAGCTACCATTGCCCCCCATGTCAAATTGATAGATTAAGGGTGGGGGACCAACCAGATCACCTGGGAAACCAACTTCACAGTACATATACCCTGACTTTTTGGTTAATGGACTAGAAATATTTTAAATAATAAATTTTCAGCAGTTAACTATCAAGACTTAAAAAAGTAAACCGAATTGAGCATGCATAGTATTTCGTATGTCAGGTGGTTATTATTTCCACCAAGTTAATGCACAATGAATGCCATGTTTTCTCCAGTGAGGCCTCAGTTCTAACTTTCTGCTGTGCCTACAATTCTCAACTCCAAAACCCAGGCTGTAAGGCATATATTAGGTACGGCCATGAACACAGGTTGAAGATACTTAGCCCACAAATACCAAGACATACAAGTTCCTCTTAATTTTGGAAGCCCTGAAACCAAGGAAAGGAAATATCATGGGAGTAATTTTTTTCAGTATAAGAGTTTTATGTAATCCAAGGAAGGAGGATTTTCTACACTCTTGACCATAAGTATTCTTGTAGATGACATTTTTAAGAGGTACTAAAATTTTCTCTAGAAGTTAACCTAATAGATTGCATGATATTCACAAACTTCTACTGCTTTAGGCAAAACCTTTTTACACTATCCTCAACTTACCTATATGCAGTGTGTGGACCGTGAGTAAAGTATATTCTCTTGAAGAAATATTGCACAAATATTCCCCACTGTCTAAAAGACTAAGATCTGTCAAAGTCATAGAGAAGTCATTCTGGTTTACCAGCTCTCTGTTCCAAGAGAATCGGGGTTCATCGATTATTGTAATTCGTGCAGAGCTCAGATAGCAACCCAAGATGGAGGAAATCCCACTTTTCACTCTAGACCAAGTAACTATGAAGTCTTCATTTGGTAGAAAAAAGTTTCTTACACCTTGACATGGGAGTGAAAGGTATTCACTTTGCCTTCTACAAAGTCCACCTAACAACAGAACAGGAAAGGAAACATTAATGAAGAAAAAATTGTCAAATGAATTTAAGTTATACTTAGTAGGGGATGAATACTGAGTATTGATACCTTTGGAGATATCATTTTGAAAAGCAATTAGATGTTTACACTGCAGAGTTTCATAAAAGAAAATCTTTATTGGCACTATTTCAAAGATTTCCCCCCAAAGTTAAGTCTTTCAAGAAGGACTAAGTCTGGGTGAGGTATGCCGGTGATGTATCTTGGTATTGACTTCTACAACCTGACAGTTAGCATTCAGGAATGTTGCTACCTACTACTAGACTGCTAACCACCTCCTCTTGACCCCCATCCCAAATGCTCCTGTTCCCCATGACTCCCCTCTTGTGACTCTACCTATGCCCTAGTGGTCCTTTTCACTTTTATGGTCTCAACCACTTCATACCTAGCTAGGCCAATTCTCTCTCCTGCATATAGGTAGTATATTTCTAACTAGGTACAGGGTATCTCTCAGTAGAGCTCTTTTATAAGAAGGATTCTGCTGGGTATTATCAGCTTGGCTCTCCAGCTCTAGCTCTATCTTGTCCTTCCTTTTCTGTGTCTCTGCAGGCTGAATTCTATGGACTGACATAGATTATTCTCCCTGGCTCTAGACCAATGATAGTGAACCTAAGGCACATGTGCCACAGCAGACTGTTTGTATCACTGAAACCTCCAAAAAGTTCACCATCACTGCCCTAGACCTACATGCTTCTAGTGCACCTGCAGAGGAGAGATGCCACAACAAAATACCTAAAATGCAAATCCAGGCTCTCTCTGATGTTTCAAATGCTCCTTTGCCTCAGAATAGATTCCAGTTTCCTTAGAAAAGTACAGAAGATATTGTTTTTGCCTCCTTTCTAAGTGTATCACTTGATTTTTCTGGTTTCATCCTCAACCACTTGTACTTCCATAAATCTCAGAAATTTCACTCCTTTGTGCTTTTGCACTTAGTGACTGGAGCACTTATATTCCCCTGCAATTTCTTACTATGACAATTCTGACCATACACAACATCCTTAAGCATGTATTCGGTAACCACCCCACTCACGCCCTAACACAGTGAACTCGATCACTCCCCTTTGTATATTACAGTCCCAGTGTAGTCTTATTTTCATGTGCTTGCACTACAGGCTGTGGACCCAAAAATGCATGAGTCTATGTTATTTAATTCACAATCTGAGCATGACAAATCTTAAAACATTTAAGTCTTGTCTCAGTAAGACAAGAACACTGAATTTAAGGAATTGTTGTTGCTTCAGGATACTTAATTCTCAGTGAACATGGGAATTATTCTCCAGGGAAAACATTTAAAAATTCAATATTAAAATTTGAACCTTTTTTTTTATGTTTCCATTCCTGCCTGGCTGATAGCAGATGAATACTTGAGTGTACATGTCTTTAACCCTGGAATCATGTAAAGGCGGTGAATCATTCACAATTTCAGTATTTTGTTGAACATTTTGAGAATATGAAAACCTGGGGAAGGTAAAGCTCAAAAGAAAAACTATCTTCTACTTTCTCCATAAAAGAGAGAGTTACAGAAAATTTTGCCATGCTTTTAATAAGTATAAAGGTTTGGAATTGGATAAGAAGGTATCAAATTAATTTTTCTTTTCCTTGATATTGTCTTTAACAGGAGCTTATGGACACAGAAATTGATCAAAGTTTAATTTTGTTCAATAATTAAACAGGAGAAGGGTAAAGATCTGATTATGCTGTGATAAAAGTATTGGATAAAGATTAGTGAACCAATGCAATTTTAAGACTAAACCACAAATAATAATAATTCTTTGACCTGCTAAGAAACTTTCCTTGCTCCTCTGATCTCTCTAAAGGGCAATGTAGGTATAAAATCCTGTTTGGGGGGTGAACCAAAGAGAAATAAAAGATATTCATGAATAGATTTGCTACTTTCCATTTCATAAATGGTTTCATTCAAATCGTAAACAACCAGCAAGGTAAAAATTACTTCCATTTTACCAAAGAAGAAACAATGCTCAGAATTGAAAATGATTGCTTAACATAATGCAGCTAATAAGAATTAAGATTGCCACAGATGAATTTTTTTCTTTCTCTCCCATTTTTTCCTGCAGACTCACTCCCTAGCTGTTCCACCCTCTGACACAGCACTGTACACAGAAAGTCCTATGGCACCTACCTTCCTGTGTCCATCGCCCTGTCCACGTTTGTTTCAGCAACGGATTTTCAATTGCACATTCATAAGTTGAATTTGATCCTGTGATATTCAGGGTACTGCTAATAGAAAAAGGACCCAAATACCCCATTTCTTCTGTTTGGCTTTCAGAGATAAATGCAGTGTCCATTTTCCATGTGATGTGTGGACGAGGATAAACACTTAGCACACTACACACCAGGAAGCTGTTTGTGTTGTTCTTCTTGTAGTTCATCACAGGGGTAACGAAAGCTATGGCAGGAAAGAATGGCATGTGGATATCAGTCACCACTAGTGTTTTCATAGGCCATCTGTGCAGAATACTTAATGCCTATGAACTGAAAAGTTAAGTTTTATGAACAAAACTTGATAGCTACTGAAAAGAAAGCCAAACAAAAGAAAAATTCCATAAAACCTTAAGATACAGTGTCATTATTTGGAAAGAATGAAAAAGAGCTTGCATGGATATGAGTCAAATAGAAATCTCTATTTTCTAAAAACTTAGCTAACAATTCTCCTGACCTTACCTGAGCAAGAAAAAAATGTGGTCAAAGACTAAACTAGAGTTTATGTGGCACTCTGAACCTGTAGGACTGACTCAGACTATTTGAGGCTCTGTTTACACATGATTCTTGGATTCTGATTCCAGGTGTCAAGCAGCTACATGAGACAAGGGGACAAAGAATAAGGACTAGATGAAACAATCCACCAGAAAATATATCCCCAAACATATAACAGATAGGCAGACATACCTTAGAGATACTGCAAGTTCAAGTCCAGTGACTATCACAACAAAGCAACTCATATAATTTTCTCATATCCCAGAGCACATAAAGGCTATTTTATGTAATACCTAATTAAATGTACAATAGCAGCTATCAAAAATAATGTACATATCTTTACTTTGAAATACTGATTAAAAATGGCTAACAATTCTCTGAGCCAACAGCAAGCTGTAATCTTTCTGCCTATGCAGGGTCTCATCTTGACACTGATGGCAGCTGACTGGTCAGGGAAATAGTTGCTGAGGGTTAGGGTGATTGTAGTTTTTTCTATTTTTTAAATTAATTTTATTGGTACATTTTAGATCTATATAATGATCACATTCATCATAGGTAATTTGTACCTGTACATGATGTATCTTGATTTTTTTCCCATTCCCCTACCCTCCCTTCAACAAAAGCTTTGTTTCCATTTTGCCTTCTTCATTTTTTTCTTTTCCTTTCCTTTCCTCTTCCTTTTTCCATAGTTCCCCTTCCTATTTGAACATTTTCTTCCTATTTCACAATATCTGTTTTACATTTTGGTCCTTATTTATACTTTCAGTTTCTCGCACCAGAGAAACATTGTGATACACATGTGTGTCTAATTTATTGAACTTAAGAGTATGGCCTCAAGGTGCATCCATTTACCTATAAATGTCTCAAGTTTATCCTTCTTTATGGCTGAGTAGTACTCCACTGTATAAAAAACCCACATCTTTTTTTTTATCTATTCATTGATTGATGGGCATTTGGGCTGTTTCCAAGATTCACCTATTACAAACTATAAACATGGGTATGCATATATCACTGTAGTACATACTAAATGGTCAAATACTGAAAGCTTTTGCTCTAAAATTGGGAACAAGACAAGGATGTCCACTATTACCACTCCTATTCAATATAGTTCTTGAAATATTACCAGAGTAATTAGATAAGAGAAAGAAATAAAAGGAATAAAGATAGAAAAGGGAGAAATTAAATTATCATTATTTGCAGATGGCATGATTCTCTACATAGAAGACCCCAAAATCTCCAAAAGATTTTTAGATTTAATAACCAAATTCAGTCATGTAGCTACATACAAAGTCAACACTCAAAAATCAATAGCATTTCTATATACAAATAACAAACTCACTGAGAGAAATAAAGGAAACCACCCCTTTTCACAATAGCATCAAAAAAAAAAAAAAGAGAGAGAGAAAGACAGAAATGCTTAGGAATCAATCTAACAAAGGAAGTAAAAGATCTTCACATTGAAAGCTACAGTACTCTGGGGGCCAGGGATTTAGCTCAATGGTTCCACTGCCTGCCTTGCAAGCACAAGGTCTTGAATTCAATTCTCAATACAAAAAAAAAGAAAAGAAAAGAAAAAAGAAAACTAGTACTCCGAAAAAGAAGATTGAAGAGGATATCAGAAAAATGGAAAGATATTCCTTGATTTTGAGTAGAAAGAACCAACACAGTGAAAATGGCCATACTCCACAATTGTTACACAGATGTAATGAAATCCTGATCAAAATACCAACAGCATGCCTCATTGAATTAAATAAAATATTCCTAAAATTCATTTAGAACCAAAAGAGATCTAGAATAGCAAAAACAATTCTGGGCAACAAAGGCAAGGCAGGGAGCATCACAATCCCTGACTTGAAATTATACTACAAAACTATTGTGATAAAAACAGCATGGTATTGGCCAAAAAAGCAAAAGACCCAAGAATTAATGGAACAGATTAAAAGATGCAGAAATGACTCCAAACACATCCAGCCATCTTATCTTCAACAAAGGGGCCAAATACCTTAACTGGAAGAATTTCTTAAAATAAGACAACAATAAAGTCTGCTGTATCAGTTGACTCTTACTTTCATGAAAAACTTTTCTGTAGCAAGTGATGCAGTTTGATAGCATTTTACCCATAGTAGAACTTCTTTCAAAATTGGTGTCAATCTTCTCAACCTTTCTGCTGTTACCTTTTTGACTTTCTGTAATGCTCTAAAATAAATCCTTGTTGCCATGCCAATACATTCCATAGAATCTTCACCATGAGTAGAATCTATTTAAAGAAACCACTTTCCTGATGCCCTACTGAGGTCCCGAGCCACGCGGAAGACGCTGAATCAGCCCGCTGCAGACAGGCAGGTCTGTGCACGCCCTACCAAGGTCCTGGGTCACGTGCAGGACACCGAATCACCCCGCTGCAGACAGGCAGCCACCTGATTCCACATTACCAAGGCGCAGAGGACACCAGACCACCAGACCAAGGTACTGAGTCCCACTGTTCCC